TATGAAGATCAAGAACCATCTCCAGTACTTTCAGAAGAAAGGAAGATAGACTAATTTGTCTATAATTCTTGGGAATGAATACTACACGAGCAATTCTTCAGCAACTGGGGATATACATAACTTTGTGGCAACTGTTGTGTATGCTATGAAGGCAAAGAAGGATGAAAAATTCGCCCTGTTGACTATCAGCGGGAATAATGCCGTCCGGGCCTGGAGATTTGTACAGTTGAAATGTTTAAATGGCCCAATTGATTTGTTTTGGTCTTTTAAAAAGAACTGAGATTGACCAAGATAGGTGGCCCGACCTGTGTTGATGAATGAACATCGGAAACCACACTCCCTAAAAATTGTGTATCCTTTTTAGAGATAGTGCATTGACAATTTGGAGCCCGGAAACAGTGTAGGATCTTGGGGTGGAGTTAAGAATTTTATGCACTTGGCTAGACTCAGAAGTTTCTATGTGGCCGCATAAATTTTTTCAAGCTGGTCTTTTAGTCTACCGAATGGCGTATTTTAATTCCCTTTGCATTTCTTTATATGGTTCCCAGTTACCTATTCGGTTTGGGTGAACGTCGGTTCAAACGTCGGTTTACCGGTCGGACGAGAAAAAACTGCCTCCGTCTTCGGTGGAGAAGATGCTGATATTATCATTAAATTTATCGGGAATGCTAGTGTCACCTTCACTAAAGACTACCTTATGCCTTTCAGCCAACAAATCATCGACAGTAATATATCAGATGATAAAGGTAGTAGGAGCCTCACTACGCCTATGCCTGCAACCACAGAAAAATTAGTTGACAAGCACGCTAACCACAGAGCGCCTGCTGTAAATATGAAGAATTGAGAGGTAAAGATCAGACAATAAAGATACCAGACTACTGTTTCATTCTTGTCAATATTGTCAAAAATAGTGCTAATATGTTACCACCAGGTGATAGAAGAGTACAAGGAAAGAGGGATGGACGGTCAATGATACGTCAATGATGAAGGCACAAGCGAATTTGCTGAAACACGTGTAGAGATACATAAGCACAACATCTGTATATAAAAAGTTTGAAATATCAAAAAACAAAAAACCGCATTTAAAACATTTTCGAAGTAACGACTCAAAAATTAAAACAACAAGAAGTTGTTTTTATACTCAAGGCAAAATATTATTTTCATATTATTTTAGAGATTACGTAGGCTTGTCGGCTAATTGCAAGTTGCATCAAGGACAGGTGTAGTGTTTATTGAAGCCAATTAAATAATGTAGACGTAACTGGCGAGCTAAACCAGATAGCTGACATCTTTCTGTTTTGGGTTTTTGGAAACACGAACATTAAAGGGAATAAAAAAGTAGACTGGTTGGTCTGCTGCGGTGCTTCCCTAGATCCATCACCTGAAATACCAGTTTATGTTTCCTCTGGTTCGTTAAGAGCAGTACTTCCTTCTTTCTTCTGTGAGTTAATAATAAATGGAAGTTACGATAATAACAACAGATTAGACAGATTAGATCATAGGAATTTATCGAAGTAGATTAAGTGACTTCTGCAATTTTCTCTGGTCACTGGTGTTTAGAAATCCATACAAAGAAACTGCGGATTTCCTTTGATTCTCATTGCAAAAGTAGAGAAAACTTACAGGAAAAAGAAACATTCATTTTCTCATAACAGGGAAAAAATGATAATCAGCGGAAGATTGTCTGGAAAGTTTCCATCTAACTATAATATTTTCTACGGTACGTCCCTTTAATATGGTAGTGTAGACATATAATAGTGTCAACCCTTGCATCACTTTCACGTAATGCAGAAATACCAATGATTTTATGGAGTGCCGAATATAATAAAAAGCTTTCACTGATACCATATTAAGCGTAAGTAAACCTGAGATCGGAGGAGCTTTACGTGTGTTTCGCTAAAAATCGACCTGAAAATGTAAATGCGACCTTGTAACTTAGTGCTTATTGCTTTACGAGTGAAAGGACGATTCTTATTGCTTTGGCAGCGGACCGCTTCATAAATGCTCGAATCTGCACTGCCCTATCGCTGCTATCGTGGATTAGTGTCGTAAGTGGCGGTATCAACATAACTACTGCCTCCTTGACCTTCCCCTTATGCTATTGACGAATTTTTATTTCTAGACCGCACCACTCAGTCGAACACTTTATAAGTCTGCCCAGCTGTTTGGGCACAAACACAAGTTGTTAACCACGACTGCCGAAAAAATCGCAGTAAAGTTCAAAGTTTAATTTTGACAACTTCTACTTTCGCAACTAGAATGTTTTCTCGGACTAGTCTCTTAATAATGACTGTATCATTCGTCAGCATTTTTTTTAACTTTGCTTGCGTCGCAATAAATTGCTGCAATCTGCTACCATATTTTTAATGCGTGTCGCATGATGGACATGTATGCAATAGGGCGTCAGGATGAGCCAACGACCTTCGACCATGTTTTACCAATTGGTAATAGTGACTGAAAAAAATTTGCAGTTCCAATAGGTGCCGATATCTACCACCATGCAAGTCCACTGCGTCTCCTAATGTATAGCATAAGACGAAGCTTTCATGCTTGTCGACAATGTCGAAGGAGCAACTAGCTTTTTTTATAAGAAACTGGTGTCATTGAAAAGCTGCACAGCTGTTTGTCACAGCTGGTTCCTTCCCTAACTGGATGTAATACCAGCCCCAGCCAATATACCACGGAGTTCACCAACATGTACCACTTCGGCACCAGGATGACTGGCAATTGTCTGATGTTTGACAGGTGTTCAGATCCAAACGCTAAATCGTTGTTCGTTCCTGTATTATTTTGCAAATCGTGTTTGTTAGTTTGCTAACTTATTGAGATTTAAAGTGGATGGGTGTAATATAACATGAACCTAGTGAGGCTAACATTGGAGCCATAGTGATTTCTTAAATTCGATATTTATTCAGTTCTTTAATAATGAATTTAAGCATGATAATAAGTCACTTATATGGACTTTCTTCCTACCACAATGGAAAGAACCCGCATACAGTTTAAACTCACTAATTTTGTCCTACGCTCCTTTCTTGATAACCTTATTTCTCCTTCCTAAATATCCCTTCAATTATACACTCCATCTGTGACTTTTTCTAATTTAAATATTAACCTAATCTTATGGTATAACCTTATTTCTCGTTCCTCAATATACCTTCATATATTCACTCCATCTGAGACTTTCTCCAATTTAAATTTTAATCTATCTAATGAATAGATATTCTAAAGAAGTATATCAATTTATATTCTAAAGAAGTATCTATTCTTTAGAATATTCTTTAGAATTTATTTCTAAAGAAATAAAAACATCTAGAAAAGTGAATTAAGGACTTTTGTTTAATTTATAGTTCTCTAAAAGCAGATGTTTATTTAAATTGGTGAGGATATGATCAAATATGGTTATAATAGTTAAACCACCTACCAAAGTAAATAAGTAGATAGTAAGTAGGTAGTAGTAAGCATTTACCAATTCTTTAGAAGAACGATATTTTGTCATCTGGGGAATAGATGTTGAATAACATTATACTGAAAAAAATTCAGCTTAGCTGAAAGTTCATTCTATACGGGTTTATTTGAAGGAAGAAGTACTGTATTTGATAGCCTATGGTATTAGGTTAGTATTTCCACCTACCCGTACTTAGAAAATTAAAATTTATTTATTAATTTCTTAGTTTCTTTTTGTAATATGCAATAAATTAAATGAAACAATTTTTTTTAATATTAATATTATTTTATTTAACATTTATTATTGTCCGCAAAGGGAGATTTGTAGTATTGTAAATACGTATATAGCTTTAGATGTATTGATTTTCTGATTTCAAATTTAACAATATTAAATTATAGGAATTTGATTATATACATACATTGTTTGATATTTTTATTTATTTAAAGTATAAAATATTACATATTTATATATATATATTCTTTTTAAATTAATAACAGCTATAATCAAGGTATATATGTATCAAATAATGTTTATTTTAAAATAATCTTTGGAATGATTTTATACAATAAACCACAATATACGACTTTTGAACAAACAGTGGAAATAATTAAGCAACTAATAGTTGTATTAATATACTTGAATAAGTTTTATAACTACACGGATCCATTAGATCTTAAAAATTTTTATCCTTACAGTTTTAAATGATATTAATTTTAAAACATATAATTATAATAGTAATTACTATATCTCATTAAGTAACGGTTTATGAAATGATTGTGTTATGCTAGACTAATAAATCTTATTATTAATAATAAATTGGGCACGAATAAAGTTTTCTAGACATAACGATTTGAACAAATTTTTCTACTACTCTGTCGATACATACAGCTGC